CTGGGGAAAAGCAGTATCAATAGCTCTCTACAGGTAAGTCCTCAACTTACAACCACAACGGAGTCCCAAATTTCTGTTGTTGAGTGAGACATTTGTTGAGTTTTGCCCCATTTTAACTTTCTTGCCACAGTTGTTAAGCGCATCACTGCAATTCATAGGTTAGTAACCTGGTTGTTGAGGTGAATCCGGCTTCCCCATTGACTTTGCTTGTCAAAAGGTTGCAAAAGGGGATGATATGACCTTGGGACACAGCAATGGTTGTTGCCAAACACCTGAATTTTGATCACATGACCATAGGAATGCTGCAACGATTCATAAGTGTGAGAAATGGTCATAAGTCACTTTTTCAGTGCCCTTGTAACTTTTGACCAGTCACTAAATGAATAGTTGTAAGTCGAGGACTACTTGTAGAGGAACCCATAGAAAACCTGCCATGTCAATTAGGGCATAAGGCAAAATCTCACATAGGCCTGAGGTTATTTGGCTGCAGAACTTACCCATAAACCCCATGGGAGAAATGCTCAAAGCTAAGTAATAGAGCCACTGTGAGGGGCAATAGTGGGTCTTCATGAGACAAGCAAAGCACTCTAAACATGCACATCACAGACCCTAAACATGCAAAGTAACTATTGTACACTGAAAAGTAGATGAGAGAAGAAATGGAAAGAACCTTCCAGAAAAAGGCAATACCAGTGATGGGATTCAAAAAATTTTACTACTGGTTTTGTGGGGGTGGCTTGGTGGATGCGGCATGGCTTTGTGGACATGCCATTGTGGGCGTGGCAGGGGAAGAATATTGCAAAATCCCATTCCCTCCCCATCCCATTAACCTGCTTTCCAGCTCCATTCTCCTGTGCAGGGCAACAAAAGAAGACCCAGCCGATCAGCTGAGTCTCGGGAGGCAGAGAATAGATGGGGGTGGGGCCAATCAGTGGTGGTATTTGCCAGTTCTCCAAATTACTCAAAATTTCCACTACTGGTTCTCCAGAACTGATCAGAACCTGCTGAATACCACCTCTGGGCAACACCAAATATTTCTGTGCACTTTCTGACAAAACATCATGAATATATTCATGCAGATTATCTGTACTCATCTTCCTAAATTGTACACCTGTGTACAATGAAAGAGAGAAAGAGAGAAGAGAGATAGAGAAAAATTCACATGTAAAAAGTTGTCAGCAGGGTTGTGTTTGCTGCAGATCTCTTGCAACAAAACATCCAATGGCATTCTCTCTGCACCATTTAACCTTACACTGAACCACTGTCTGTCTGTAGTTTTTTTTTAAACCATAAGGAGGTTTTCATCATCATAGCTCAAGCGCTGCTCGGCAGTAACCATGGAAGAGTCACACCAGAAGCCGAAGAACCAATCAGCTGCTCTTCATTGCATCACACCAGCTCAGACAGATACTCCTCTGCTTTATTGGACTGTTTCTGGGTTTGAAACAGGATACAGTGCAGTTCTGCTGCTTATTCTCTCTGGCTGTGAGCTTCAGTTGGGGTAATAAGATGGCTTATTCTCAAAGCAGTCCTGAAACTTAACCATTGCTCCACTGTAAAGGAGAACAAATGTAAAAGCATCTCACATTAATTTAGTACCATAGAATTGGATAGAAGTCCCCTGAGTTGAACAGAAATTACTTGCAGATACATGCATATAGGAACATGGCCTCTGTACTTTGCAGGCATTCATCTGTTACTATGTCACACAAAGTGGAAAACTCAATAGACTTTCAAATGCTTAAGATAAAATTGTGTCTGAATGGCTGTGCAATAAGAGGACTTTGAACTGCATGCAAGCACATTTGTGGCATCTATTTGTAACCTGAAATCAACCACAACTTTTCCTAGTTCTGTGCTGGGGCTGCCAAGGACAGGCATTAAATTCTCGGAAAAGACTTTATTAAGGAATTGCTGACACTTGCTACATATTAGCACTCCGTGTATTCTACATCAGGGGTCGCCAACCGGTGGGCCGCAGCCCACTGGTGGTCCATGAGAAAATTTTGGTGGTCTGCAAAGAAATGTCACCCCCAGAACACCCCCCAAAGCAATTAATCCAGGCTGCGCAGAAACACATGGCTGCGCCGCACACGTGGCCCGCAGGAACCCTCCCCGCCCACTCACTCCTTACCTGGCAAACTTGCCTGCTAAGTTGCTATTTTTCCTCCCCCACCCGACCATCAGCTGTTCTGCTGTGCCGGGAGAGTTAGATTAGCTAGAAAGCAAGAAACAGTTGCATTTCTTGCTTTCTAGCTAATCTTTAGATCTTCAGCTGTGCTTTTAAGCAGAGCCAAACCTTCCTTAGGACTGAAGCATCTATTATTCAGTGCAGACTCAGGTAGCCGATGGCAGATAGATCTCTTAATGAATCTGTGATTCTGTGAGCAACGCAATCTGCCTGCCTGTTTTGCCTGATTTTGGGTAAAGTTGCTTTTTTATATATAAAAAAAATCAATATTTACACACATGGTGTGTTGTGACTTAATTTTGTGAGTTTGCTTGCAAGCAAATTTTATGAGAGAGAGAGGGAAAGAGGTTAGATCAGATCTCTCTGTCCCACCAACATCAGCAAGCTACCATCAGTCAAAATTCGTATTAGTGGTCCCCGGGATTTAAAATTATGAGCTTGGTGGTCCCTGAGGTCCAAAAGGTTGGCGACCCCTGCTCTACATCACATTGATAATAATAAATAATAATAATAAAATAATAAAAATAATAAATAAAAATAAGCACAGCCTTATTGTTCACAACCCAACAACTTAAGCTGTTAACATTGTACACTGAAAAAATCAAGAAGAAATGAAAGTAACATTTTAGAAGAAGGCAACACCAAACATTTCTGTACGCTTGTTGACAAAACCACACAAATGTATTAATGCGGGAGTCAAGTTGGACTCCAAGGAATCTTTACCTTAATATCAGAACATTCATCTATAGAATAACCTGAAATGTAACTCTCTGCATGTGCCTGACCTAAGTATGATAGCATCATGAAGTTCAGAAAGAGGAATGATGCTTCCCGCATGTTCATGAAATAATGGCTCTTGCCTTTGTCTTTACAATATGTCTCTATATTTCCATTTTATTATCTAACCTGTATGAGATGCTGGAATGACCCTGGACTCAATTTCTCACTCACATCCTTCTCACCATGGATATATTGTAATTCATTCAGTCTTTGTTGGTGCTAATTAGATAACATATGAACTCAAACAGTCAAGCCAAAATACTAGTCAAATCATACAAAATTTTGTTATTCTACTATATATAAACTCTTTAATCAAAATTGTTTCTGTAGAGAGGAACGACACATGTGGCCCTTAATATTTTTTATGGCTTACAAAGCCTCCTATGCTAAAGTCTTAGGTGGGGGAGGGGGAATAAAACACTCTAGAAACAAACCTTAAACCCACCCAACTTCACTCCTGGTCTCAGTCATTACTCATGCCTTTCACTCATTAGGTGCAGAGCCCAGCCACCCAAATTTTTGGCCACTTCTGACAGACACACATACAAGTAATAGCATTTTTGCAACTACATTGTATTAGTAGTTTCTTTCTTAGAACAAAATAATGTAAAGCTAGCCTTCAGTATTAAAAATAAATACAAAATAGAAATGAGTTTGTAATATATTTTAATACTTTTCACTTTTAAATACTGGTTTTCAAATCTGTGATTGTAATATGGAAGAGGCAACTCCATTTAATCATTTATTTTTAATGTTAACAGGATCATAAAGCTATCATAGAAGAACAGTCACATTTTACACGCTCGGGACATTCTAGAAACCGATTCATAATTTGAGCATGTCATTGAACATGGTAACTCAAATACAGCTTCATTTATATAATGAATAATTGACAAAAAGATTTTGTGAAAAATTGACTTAACCATTTGATTAATGAGAACCAGAATAACTTCTTACAAGTCAGCTCAACTCAAATAAGTAAGAGAAATTTCTTTCAAGATGACCAAGCATTCCATCTCTAACTCCTTCAAGGATTTTTTACATTTAGTCCAATTGCAAAATATAATAATGATAAAGATTTAAAAAAAACAGATAGGTGTCAGTATTGTTCCTTCCCAGCTAAAAAGGAAAGTCCACCATTTGATAGGATTCTAATATTAATGTTGGTTCTGGTGGCCATTCAGTCTTTGGAAGCTAGAGAGATACAGTAAAGCCACCTACATCCACGGAATTTAACTATAGAGTTTGGTTCATAAAAAAATGGTAAGGACTATTATTTGCTCATTGGTTATTATAGCAAAAGATGCCACTTGTGAAGTCTCGGGTGGATGGATGCGCTAGATGAAAAGAGCCAATAATCAATTGGAAACTAAAAATAAAAATATGTTCCAGCAAAAAATATTAAGAACTGCTAGGCAAGCACTGACCACAGTTATTTATTTGATTATACATCCCAAGAAATTTCAAGACAGATTGGGCCGGGCTAGCTGTAATGAGGAGACACCACTTGTCTAAAAGTAAAGCTTAGTTTACAAATAGTATCTTTTAGTGTAATTCTTATTTACAGATTCGCAAAATACATCACATTTAGTGCAAATGCAACTAATGACATTAAGATTTATAAACTACTTTGTAAACTTTCCATCTCTTTCTAAAATAAAGCTATCCAATTAAATAATAGTTATCTGCATATGTCCCATGATCATAATCAGGAATGGCAAACTGTTGGTTTCATTGTCGGGGTCTGTATTATTTTTTATATTGAAGTTCCCATCAGTGGCTGTCGTGAACAAATAATTTTTTCCAGTTGATTGCAAAAATATTAAACTTATCTGAGGTATAAGAAATGGTATACAAAATGCTTTACTGGTGAGATAGTAAACAGATCAAATTCATAATCTTTACTTTTTGCCTTGCCAGCATTACCCTATAGGCACTTTTCTACATTTTAAATCATGATCAGAATTATTCTGTAGTAAGGCATTTTCCATGCACATTATTTAGAGAAAGGCAAATAAAGGATGCTAAAAAGCATGAATTCTGTATACATGTACATAAAACAACCTTAAGAGTGTGCCTGTTTTAGTGTACCAAAGACACATCAGCTTATACCCAAATTAATTTGCTTCCAACCTTTTATGATTTTCATCAGCTGAATCTTCATTAAAAAGTATTATATTTGTTTTCAGGCATCAGCTTCTCTATATGAAATAAAGACTTTCTGCTTTGTTTTCAAAAATATATCCAAATCTTGTCTCTCTCTTTATATATATATATACACACACAAGCTGACAGCTAAAAAGATTATCTGGCTAATCTCAATTTAAAAGTACAACTCAAGGAATTTCCTCAAAAGGACCACCAGTCTTTTCACACAGTTCACCCTTTGTATATTGTATTTCATAATATTAAAGACAGTCGGATCCTTGATAGTTAACTTCTCATAGCAACTAAGGGGAACTTTCTTTAGATTTTAATTGTTTTCATATCTGACATAGGGCAAAAGTTATGTGTATGGCAAGTATTTTTATAGATGAATCTCATAGCATAGCTTTACTCAACGGGAAACGAAGTGTTGGACTAAACAACGTTGTTTTTTTTCCAAGACTGGGAATGTTATCTTCAGCAATCCAATTTAACTCAATAAATATTACACAGTGTTAAAGTTCCAATTGCTAGGAAGCAGCCCATATTCACACAATTTGAGCAAGATACAGCAGTAGCTGTTTTCTGGCAGTCAGGTCTTCTTATATAGCATCTAGTAATAACTTTAGATACTACCAAAAGATAATATCTTTTTGGGATCATGTTCTGGAATTAAATTTCTATAGCACATATTACGGAACTAAAATTAAAAATAGAAATATAAGATATCTGAAAAAAATAATAATAAAGCTTTTCACGCCTGCTCCATCAGACCCCAGAAGTCCTTCATAGGAGCTAGACTATAGAAAAGGCAAGTCATAAAGATCCTGACAGCCCTCATATTTTAAGAGAAGTTTTACATAATATGATTTCTCATAGAAACTCAGCAGCAATGAACTATGATTATACAAAGCATACACAAATTCCCTCTGAAAGGACACAGAATTTACTGAAAACCTGATGGGAAAAAAAGGTATAACATAATGTTTTTGTGTACATAAAGCACATATGGTATGCTAGATGTGTATTCGTCTTTTGTGCTTTTTAGACGTACACAAAAACAAGAACTGTGCAAGTGTCTTATGAAGTCCCACAGTAAACGAAATCTTAAATTATTCAAAAGTTAAAGCAATGAACCAAGTTGGTGACCCAAAATTGTAGTATTCTCCTCTAGAGCAAGCAAACAGAGCCATATACATGTATCAACACATGTATTTTTATAATTACACATCAACTCAGCAAAGTGAACTAGCAGAAGACAGTGAAAGTTCAAGTTCATGGCATTGCAGTATTCTTCAGTTGTGTACAGAATGCAGGACTTGGCCCATAAGACTGTAGATCCTACGTTCCAGCTTGGAGCCTTCATTTTGGTTCATTTCTCCAAATGGAATGTTCACACAGTCTTGTTCCAATCACTTAATGGAGGGAAAAAGAGGAAAATAGATGAAGCTTCTTACTTGTGTCCAGTACCACTAAAAGCTGGAATGAGGCCAATGTCTGCTGCCTTTACCCTTGGTAAGCAGAAAAGCAAAGGTACAAAAACCCATAGACTGATTTAAGTGTGTTTCTCTAGTTGAACAAAGCCAGCTGTTGAATTGGGTGCATTCATGGCTAAGCACAATTTACACCTATTGTCTTATCTGAACATCACACCTCATTTATTTTCAGGTATTCTATTTATGATGTCACAAAATCAACAAAATTAAGATGATTTTAATGATTTTTTGCTAGTTGGATTTCTGGGTTTGGGGAGTACCAAGTCCTCCCTAAGTACTGATCAGGTGTTCTGCAGACTTTTTCAACCTACATCCCATTGAAGCTTCCTGTGTGCAATGTTTCAGAAGTGGCAGTTTGTTACAGATCTGAAATCAGGAGCAATGATTGGTGATTGGAAGCTTAAATGGTTGCTGGGAATGAATCTCTATCTTGTCTGCTTGGTATATATGGCCTGGATCAGGCACCTGACAAGGTGAAAGACTGTATCCAGCTACACTGATCTGTTGGTAGCCTATTTATTTAATATGAATTATTCCTTCTCTGAGCTTCGCATGATGTTTTTCAGTCAGGAAGGATGTTTATAAGTTTACAGGTAATCCTCATTTGCCAACTTCAATAGGGGCTGGCTATTCCATTACTAAGTGATGCAGTTGTTAAGTGCAATATCATGTAACTGTACCGATTTATGTCAGTTCTGGCTGCAGTTGTTAAGCAGGTCACCGTGGGGCATTAAATGCGACATCACATGACTGTGACTTGCAACTTCCTGCTAATTCTTGTCCTTGATTTTACTTGTTGGCAGCTGGCTGTGCAAGTCACAAATGACAATAACCTGATTGCAGGATGCTATAACCATTGTAAACGCAAGGTGGGTGCAATTTCCAGGGAGGTATGGCAAACTGAAGACAGCTTTGTGAAAGCAGAACTGAAAATCACGGTAAAGTCCCAGTATCCAGTGAGTATATTGGTTCCTTAGATCCTCTCCAGATAAGGTGATGATCATTCACATATGTTAATATTGGGACTTAAAAAATGACATCAAATGTTATAATATTGGGAATATTAAAAATAGTTGGAAAAATGGTGGCAGACATTAATAATTATAGTATCAACACTGTCAGTAACAATCTCTGCTTGTGTGAATAAACTGTCAAAAAGATGTTAAGTGATTGGTAAGGGTGGGCTACCTGTATAACAGCTGCTTGTTTGGCTTGCAGCACGCAAGATCTCTAATTAGAGATAAAGAGCAAGGGAGGGAGGATTCTGTGAAATTAAGGAGCCTAGAAGGCGCTGAGGAAGTTTTCAGAACATTTTGGTATGAAGAATGTAATCCCAAAATTATGATCATAACTGTAACCTCTTATTTCTTCCAATTGTAAATTTGTCTTGTCTCCCATACACCCACATTATTTAAAACTAATTTTAAGAAACATTTCAAATATTTCAGCATATCTGAAGTGACTATATAATTAATGATGAAATAATTATATATTGCAAAAAACTCAAGGGATTATACATACCTATTACATAATACTAGAACAAAATAGACTTCCCGGCTGTTTTTTCTTGTACATATGATGTAAATCGTTTCAAGAATTTGGGATACTCTCGCTTTGCTACTGCCCGCAGTACAGAAGCTGGTGCCCAGCCTCCAGGGTTCACTACAAATAAAGATGATATTTTTAAGTGGTTAATATAATTTAATTTTTTTAAATAAAGTTTTATTTGGGTTTTCACACACAAAATACAAGGAAAACATCTTTTTTGAAAATAGCATGGTCCTGGGTTGAACTTCTTTATACAGACACAAAACTCAATTTCATGCTCCTTTTTGTATTCTATTCCATATCTTATACTATTCTACATTTTCTATATAGTTTTTCCCCTCTTTTAATTTTCTCAATTTTATTTTGATTATCTCATCTCAATTCAAATCATTATATTTATACTTTTGTCTGTTCTGTTTCAATTTCATATTAACTTTTTTCATTAAACAAATTTTCCCCTGTAGTTACTAATTGAGTATGACCCCTTTATATCTTTTAATTACATCCATTCAACTCTTATTTAAACTTCAATATATACCTTAAGGTTATGACCTTCAATATAATACATAACTTCCAATTGAATTCTGCTTGGTACATTCTTATAATACATGCTATATTCTTTTTTTAAAAAAGAAAGATTGTAAATATATGTAATTATAAACCCTCATTCCATTCCAGTTCAGTTCTATTATTAATAATCATTAAAATCTTAACATCTTTAACACTTCTTTTCAATTAAACATCATACTTCCTTAAAAACACATATAATCTCCAAAATTAATTTTTCCCTTATTTCTCTACACGTTTTATAAATCATTAAATATACCTTTTGTTATATTTATTTATTGACAAGCATTCCACTGAATTACGATAGCTATTTTATGAAATATTTTAATCATACATTGTTTCCTATTTTCTAAAATTATTTCTGCTTCTAATGTAACCATACTATCTTATGTACCTTTGCAGAATCCCTTTTTCCATTAAGTTTTCACCCATTATCTCTAAATAGGCCCTGTTTCTCTATATTTTGTTTCTGTCCTTTATAACTTCTTTTCCTTTCTTTCTTCCCTCTCCCCTCTTTACCCCCTTGTCTCTCTACTTCTAATTCTCTCTTCTGCATTTCCCTCTTCTGTTGCTTTCTGATTTTATACTTATTTTTTACTCTATTTTGGGGGGGGAGTTGTTTTTCCCAATCTTAAACTTTTCATTCTGTTTCCCCCCTTTCCTTCCCGCCCCCCCCATCTAAGATTACTTGTTCATTAAGGATGGCTTCTTCTTTGTCGCAATTTTCTTGTTCTGCAGGCATTTCTTGTTGTTTCTCATAATTTCAAATCTCCACTTTTAAAAACTGAAATACGAAGCCAAAAGAACCTCTCCCTTCTTGTGCGTCTTCTTTGTACTTTTTAAGTTCCATTTTCAGTTCTTCTAAAAGTGGAGGCATTTTAAACAGTTTTAAACAACCACCCGATTGATTTTAGTCATTCAAAACAATAACCAAGGATCCAGAAATCATCAAGTAATCCAGATAGTCCTGAGTTATATCTTCTTATTTCTTTTTCGACTTTCTCTTCCTGGGGTTTTTGTTGCGATATTTCAGTTAGAATGTATCTTTTGGAAGTCTTGTTGAGATTTTGCTGTAAGTTCTTTTTTAATTCCAGGCAGTCTCCTCCCTTCCAGTTCCTGCCCTTTTATTCTTTTTCTCTCCTTTCCTGTTTTCAAAAGCTTTTAATTATCCAGAAATCTTTATTATCCCTTTGACTTTTTATTTTCAGCATTAAATGCCCATTAATGTCAAAGTGGATTTTTTTCCAATTTCTTCCTTAAGTCTCTTAGCTGTCAGTATAGGAAAAGGAGGAAAAAAAACCCAAATCTTTTCCCTTTTCTCTCTCCTTCGCAGCTTAAAAATCTTCTTAGGGAACAATGTTATTGGTTTTTTTTAATAGTTTCAATTCCAGGGTACCTTGTTGCTTTTGCTGTTTGACCCGGTCAACCAAAACTTTCTCTTCTTATCTTCCTCCTGCACATTCTTTTCTGGTCGAGTTCTTCTTTGTGGTGGCCATTTCTGACCACCGCTACAACCACCTTCGGGAAAGGAGTAATGGACAGCTGGGAAGGAGAGATGCGGCTCTCCTCAACCGGCTGGTAGTCTCCCCCCTCTTCACCACTTCTATGGGGTGGCTTAGCCTTGAAACCAGCCAGCTCGGGGCACTCCTGCAGCGAGCACGGATCAAAGCCTCACAGCTTTACTCTTGTAATGATGGTAATATTGAAACACAAACTCATATTCTGTTATATTGTAATTTCTATTAAGATAAACAAAGAGTTCCTAACATCTCTTCCAATTCCATTTACTGGACAAATTGAAGAAATTTGTATAAATTTCTTACTAGCAAATAAAGAATGCAGAGTAATTCTTTCTATTGGAAAGTTTGTTTTCACCTGTAAAACTTCTACAGGTAGTCCTCACTTAATGACCCTAACTGGGACTGGAATTTCCATTGCTAAGTGAAATATCATTAGACAAAACATGTGATTGCATTGCTTAGCAATGGCAGCTCCAGTAGTTCTGGTTGCAGTTTTTAGGCAAGGATTACACCATTGTTAAGTGGGGACCTCAGGCTTCTCCTGCCTTGCCACACTAGCCTCAGTTTCAATTCCTCCCATCCACTTATCTGTCCTTTTAGCCACCCTGGATTCCACCACCTAAAAACTCAATGTTTTAGGGGCCAGCAGCTGCCTTGATTTGATCTGCCTTGTCAGCTGCAGAAGGAAAAAGTTAGTAGAGGTCAATGGGAGCTGAGGTAGGTCACGTGGTAAGAGGCTTGGCCTGCGTACCACTTAGGTTGGCAGCTCAGCGGTTCAACTCCCATGAAGTAAACTGTTTAGGGACAAGAAAGGAGCCTCCCCCAAATGCCTACCAGCATTCAGGCATCCCATGGGTAAAGATAACACTGCCTGGAAAAAAATTATTTTCACAGAAGTAGCCAGCCACCTCAGTGATCCCTGGCTAACATGTGCCATATGCTAAATAAAATAATAAGGTCAGTTAGAGGTGGTACAGGGTAGCAAGGGAAGGCAGCAACACCAGAGCCCAGGGCACCCAGAAAGGCAGAGATTGGGGAGAGAAAATAGGTAGCTGACATAAGTTGGAGAGCACGCTTTAGTCATAAATGCAAGCAGGCTGTCAATTTTGATCATGGAGATGTTGCAACAGCCTTAACTTCAAGGAACAGCTATAACTGCCTCTTGCTCAGAGGCATCATAATTTCAAATCTTCGCACTTAAGCAAAGTTAATGGCAGTTAAGCAAGGATTATCTGTATACTGTTGACAGAGAGATATTTTTATGACTCAAAAGCTAAGCAAAGTTGATCCTAGTAAGTACTTGAACAAGAGACTGCCAAGAAATCTTGAAGTACAAAAAAATGGCAAAAACCAGTTAGTCACTTGCTAATTTGCCACCCCTCCCCCATTTTTTTTAAGCATGCCAAAACATTGTGACTTTAAATATAACACTGAAGCATTAAGGTAGCTGTCTACTCTTACTTTTTAAAACCAGTTGTACTCTTGACATGTATACTGTAATACTAGAAACAAAGCCAGGACAAGATGGCAAACTATTTTTCTGTGAGATTCTGTTTTATTACCCTCACTCATTAGTTTAGTGTTGTTTACAGCTTATTAAAATAAGCAAATGATATCATTTATATATTTGTAACTTCTTGAGAGAGAGAGAAAAGAAAGAGTCAGGCATTGAGAAGAAAAGAGAAAAGATTTCTGACTTGGAGAATAGGGAAAAGGAAGAAGTGTCATAGAGTAAGTCTTGGCTTGCAGCACTCTTCCAAGACAGCCAAACAACCAAAAATTAATGAAATTTTTCTACAAAAAGAAACAGTAAGTAAATTAACCATGTTTCTCATCCCTAATAAATTTGAGGCTCTTGAAGAGGACTAACAAACAGAAATAGAAAAAGAGCAATTGTTAGAGTGTTCTGTTTCTCTAAGATATGGTTTAATAGACTGGTCAGATTCTACTCTCGCTATCATTCTCCACTACATTCACTCTCTAATTTCCTCTAAAGAAAATAAGAAAAAGTTGCACATGATAAGGACTAGTTGCTGATATGAAAGAGCACAACTAAATTAATGGCAAAACCACAAATACAAAAGCACAAACTATCATTTCGGTGTTTGAGCAATTAACTTCCATTAAAAATAATCTGCATCTGTTAAAAAGTGACCGAGGTTTTTGTCCAAAAATATACAAAAAAACTTTCTGCCTTTATTGAAGTCTAAGGCCAAACACATACCCCTACAACTGAGTGAACCAACTTCCCTCAGGACTGAGTAACAATAAATCACAAATGTAACTTCTGACAAAGTGTTCAAGCAGTAAAGAAGTTTCTTCATCAAAGCTCACTTACTCCTTGTAATTAAATCAGGTTGTTCTTCATATATCATACAGTATATCTTTGAATGGCCTTAATTCTAATTGTTAGGTCTCCAAAAGAGAAACAGTAACTTCTCTGGGACAGTTTCTTCCCTGCCACCAGTAAATAGATTTCTGTTTGAGTGGTTTCCAAGCTTGCCTGGCATTATCCAAATCTTACTCTTAAGTAAACTATTATACCTCACTTATTACTTAAAATGAAATAATTTCTTGCTATTCTTTTCATGATGGAGAGGTAACCCCTTTGTTCAGCTCAGCTACTTTTGATCTACACAGTCTTCCAAATAATAAAACCTGTTGTTAATAACATTATCTTATCTCCCCAATTTTCCTTGACTAAGCCAGGACATGGGAATAAGATAGACATGCAGAATGAGGCAAAGTCTAATAGGAACAAGCAGTACTTATGGGGACCTTTGGAGCCCTGTAGGGCTCCAAACAGTGATTTTTTTTACAAAGGCTAAATAGCCTTAAGGGAACTGTATTGGGTACTATTGCTACCACAGAGTCACTTATTGAACTCAGTAAATAAATGTGAGTTTGTTGCAAAATACCTGAAATATAGTCACGTGCCTGTGGGAGGATCACACAATGTTTTATAACAGTCAAAAATCTTTGGGGCCATAGAGCATCATTTCCAAGGCACTTGAAATTTTGACTGCTCATTAAATTATCAGTTTTAAGGACTACCTATATAATTCCAGCCATGTTGTAGTTTTAGGATTGGCCTTACACAACTTTTAGTCACGTTAGTGTTGTAATTCTGCATAGATTTTTGAAGTTGTTATAATTTTATTTACTTTGAGAACTTTCTTGCTTTATGATTTATTTTATACTTTATGCCTGTAATATAACTATTCACTTATATTTATTGTGTATATTGTAAACTGTTGGTGCTACCTCAGAAGGAAATTGTTTACCCAGAAGTCTGATTAAATCTCTGGTGGTGAGCAACTTATTATTGATATTGCATATTATGATACTTTAAGCTTTAAGAGGGGATAATTTAAAAATATAGTACTTTCAAAAGAATTTTAATCTAAATGTTTTATTTAAACTATACAGTATCTTAACTATAGATCACTTTCAATTTATTTTAAATAGCCTCAAATGAATTTAAAAATGCTTGGGAGAATCTTTCTTGGAAGCACAGTTACAGATTTTACAGACAAACAAAAGAGCAGACAAATAAATAAATAAACATGTTCATGTGAAGTGGGTAAATCACTTTTTCCTATGATAATTTGCTGATATGTGGGAAAATTTAATCAGCAATACCACCGATAACAAAAAGCCAGCGCTGACAGTGAGCCATGGTTACATCATCATATATTTTTCCCTAATTGCACTAATCATTAAAAAAACTGAAATACTATATGGAAGCTATATTTACTCAAGACTATGAATGCTGATTATGTTGCCAACTAACTGCTACCCAGTCCTGATCCTGAGAAATGTAAACTTTGGCAATGTATTTAAAAAGCATGTGGGATAGGAAAATAAACTGTTGGATTTAAATTGCTTTGAGTATAAGGCGGAATTGCATTTTCATGGTGATATTTGACTAGGTTTAGCAGAGATTGCAAATTAAACTTCCAATTAAAAAATGCTTGTCACAGATAATTTTGAAATCCTAAAATTTTAGTTATGTAGAAGTATTATTAAAAGCAATAAAATCAGCCCTCACTTTAATATTACAGGAATAGGAAATTAAATTAGACCCCCATATAGCATTTACAGATCTATCTAAATAAAATTGTGGGAGTCATCTCACAATCCATCTACAATTATTACTACATACTCAAAACTTTAAGAGTTTGAATCCACAAAACAATGTACACAGAATACATGCCCAATGGGCAGATTTCACAGTGAGTTTTCCATTTAATATGTGGGCAGAAGGAGATCCATATTTGATTTTATGTAACAATACACAGCCTCTAAAAAAAGAGATATAACCTCCTAAAGCTGGGGTTGTGGGCTTCAAATCTGTCCAAAATGATTTTCAAATTGCAATTTTGAACGTACTGGAAGAGGGAAATGATTATATACAATGAAGACAACTCACATTAATATTTCTATTTTTTTTAAATGTAAATGAAATCAAATTTAGTTTTAGTTTATCCTGACCTTACACATGCTCCTGAATATGGAAAAAGATGAACTTTCCTGTCCTATTATCTTCATTCTATCTCTTATCATTTTAAAAGAAGCCAAAAACCATTTAATTTTTGAGTATTTGGTTTTAATTGTAGTTTTAACAGTAAACAATGTCAGAACAGAATTAATTATTGCAGTATCTTTAGAAAAAGTACAGTATGTGAATTATATGCATGATACCTACAATTTTATTACATACATAGTATGTACGTAGGACTTTTGCTTTATTATTTGTATGGTTGTTTATCTGTAAATCAGAAAAAAAATCTTTTTACACTAATACAACTACATACGCATTTCAAGAAAGTAGTTCATGCCTCACCATTTGCTACATATGTAATCTTGCATAGGATGTTGTCTCTGCTTATTTTCTTGTTTCCTTCTGGAGGGCTTACCAACGTCTGGCAAATCATAGCAATATTTATTTTGGCACGAACACATCGATTGGTTGTCTGTCGAAAAATGCAAACATTCACATTGTTCTTGATTAAATGCTGACTGTAAAGAAATACGATGGCATAAACTGCTGTTTCCTTTTTTTCCATTCGAAAAAAACTCATTAAGTTAAATATCTTGAATCTTTTCCATTCTTTTCTTTTAAATTATCCTTGACCTAGGGTTCACAAACACTGCAATTAAGAAAGGAATTGTACAATAATAAATACTTTCAGAAACTACGAGTTTTACTTACAGGAACACTATCATGTTCCACAGAGAAGTTGCAGACAATCCATGTTTCAGTGTCGTTTTCATTTAAAGCTGGTATTTTTCTAATAGCAGATAAATACAGCACATCACGTTGAGAAGCAGGCCATACTCGCTAGAAGGAAAGCATTTATGTTTAAAAAGAAAACACTTCTGCAGTAATCCTAATAGAAAACAGAAATAAATCAAAATTTGAGGATACTGATTGTTACCAGAGGTGGTATTCAGCAGGTTCTGACCAGTTCCAGAGAACCGCTAGCAGAAGTTTTGAGTAGTTCAAAGAACCAGCAAATACCTCCTCTAACTGGCCCCGCCCCCATCTATTCTCTGCCTCCTGAGTCCCAACTGATCCATCCAGAGCTGGAAAGGTTTGTGGAGTGGGGAGAGAATCTGATGTCTGGAGGCCAATGAGCCACATGTTGAAGACCAGGTGGCTGGGACTTCCAGTCTGAGCTTCTTCAGTGACAGACCGAATCCTCATTTCTCCGAGGCTTCGATCCGTGCTCGCTGCTGGAGCGCCCCGAGCTGATTGGTTTTGGGGCTAAGCCACCCCGTAGAGGTGGTGAAGAGGGGGCAGACTGCCAGCAGGGTTGAGGAGAGCTGCATCTCTCCTCCCCAGCTGGCCAATACTCCCTTTCCCGAAGGCGGTTGTAGCGGTGGTCAGAAATGGCCACCACAAAGAAGAACTCGACCAGAAAAGAATGTGCAGGAGGAAGATAAGAAGAGAAAGTTTTGGTTGACCGGGTCAAACAGCAAAAGCAATAAGGTACCCTGGAATTGAAACTATTAAAAAAAAACCAATAACATTGTTCCCTAAGAAGATTTTTAAGCTGCAAAGGAGAGAGAAAAGGGAAAAGATTTGGGTTGTTTTTCTCCTTTTCCTATACTGACAGCTAAGAGACTTAAGGAAGAAATTGGAAAAAAATCCACTTCTGACATTAATGGGCATTTAATGCTGAAAATAAAAAGTCAAAGGGATAATAAAGATTTCTGGATAATTAAAAGCTTTTGAAAACAGGAAAGGAGAGAAAAAGAATAAAAGGGCAGGAACTGGAAGGGAGGAGACTGCCTGGAATTAAAAAGAATTTACAGCAAAATCTCAACGAGACTTCCAAAAGATACATTCTAACTGAAATATCGCAACAAAAACCCCAGGAAAAGAAAGTCGAAAAAGAAATAAGAAGATATAACTCAGGACTATCTGGATTACTTGATGATTTCTGGATTCTTGGTTATTATTTTGAATGACTAAAATCAATTGGGTGGTTGTTTAAAACTGTTTAAAATGGCTCCACTTTTAGAAGAACTGAAAATGGAACTTAAAATGTACAAAGAAGATGCACAAGAAGGGAGAGGTTCTTTTGGCTTCATATTTCAGTTTTTAGAAATGGAGATTTGGAATTATGAGAATCAACAAGAAATGCCTGCAGAACAAGAAGATTGGACAAAGAAGAAGCCATCCCTAATGAACAAGTAATCTTAGATGGGGGAAAAAAAGGAAAGGGGGAAAACAGAATGAAAAGTTTAAGATTGGGAAAAACAACTCCCCCCCACACCCAAAAAAAATAGAGTAAAAAATAAGTTTAAAATCAGAAAGCAACAGAAGAGGGAAATGCAGAAGAGAGAATTAGAAGTAGAGAGACAAGGGGGTAAAAAGGGGAGGGAGAAGATGAGAGGAAAGAAAGAAAGGAAAAGAAGTTATAAAGGACAGAAACAATATATAGAGAAACAGGGCCTATTCAGAGATAAGGGGTGAAAATTTAATGGAAAAAGAGATTCTGCAAAGGTACATAAGGTAGTATTGTTATATTAGAAATAGAAATAATTTTAGAAAATATGCAACAATGTATGATTAAAATGTTTCATAAAATAGCTATCGTAATTCAGTGGAATGCTTGTCAATAAATAAATGTAACAAAATGAATATTTAATGATTTACAAAATATATGTGAAGAGAAATAAGGGAAAAATTAATTATGGAGATTATATGTGTTTTTAAGGAAGTATGATATTTAATTGAAAAGAAGTGTTAAAGATGTTAAGATTTTAATGATTATTGATAGAACTGAAATGGAATGAAATGAGGGTTTATAATTACATATATTTATAATCCTTTTTTAAAAAAGAATATAGTGTGTATTATAAGAATGTACCAAGCAGAATTCGATTGGAAGTTATGTATTATGTATTATATTGAAGGTCATAATCTTAAGGTATATATTGAAGTTTAAATAAGAGTTGAATGGATATAATTAAAAGATATAAAGGTATCATACTCCAATTAGTAACTACAGGAGAAAATTGGTTTAATGAGAAAAGATAATATGAAATTGAAACAGAACAGACAAAAGTATAAATATAATGATTTGAATTGAGATGAGATAATCAAAATAAAATTGAGAAAATTAAAAGAGGGGAAAAACTATATAGAAAATGTAGAATAGTATAAGATATGGAATAGAACACAAGGAGCATGAAATTGAGTTTTGTGTCTGTATAAAGAAGTTCAACCCAGGACCATGCTATTTTCAAAAAAGATGTTTTACTTGTATTTTGTATGTGTGAAAACCCAAATAAAACTTTATTAAAAAAAAAAAAAGACCAGATGGCTGGCGAGGAGGTGGGGCAACAGAGGTGATACGGATAGCGGATAGACTCATATACGCAGGAGATTGTGGCATCGGAGCCCTTCCCGGGTGTACACTGGCCTGTGAGGGGGTGAGAAAAGGAAACTCGGAACTTGTGTTACCTCCTGCCTCCGTGTATCAAGGAGATCAAGTGGCTGCCAGCGATGCCCTCAGGTGAAGATGTTGTGAGGGGGAGGCTCAACCTCCCCCCCTCTGGACCTTCTCTTCCTCCTCGCCTGAAGGGGGAGGCTCAATCCCCTCCCCTCCAGAGCTTCTTTTCCTCCTTCCCAGAAGAGGGAGGTTTAACCACCTCCCCTCAGGAGCTTCTCTTCCTCCTACCCAGAAGCACTCACACACAAAGCGCTCACTGCCCTTCTGACACCCAACAAGCCTCCTCCTTCCTGCTGGGCATGTGAGCGCTTCTGGCGAGAAGGAAGACTGGGTTGAGCCTCCCCCTCACAACATCTTCACCTGAGGGCATTGCTGGCAGCCACTTCCTGTGGATCAGGAGGTCTGCGCTCTTCCCACTGCTGCTCGGCCTCCTCGATGGGCTGAGGCAGGAGGCAGCAGCCATGACACAGGTTTGCTTGGGAGACTGCAGGATTGCCCCACCTCCCCACCAGCCACCTGCTCTTCAGCACACTGTGGCCCACCAAAATTTTTTCATGGACCACCAGTGGGCTGTGGCCCACTGGTTGGTGACCACTGTCTTAAGCTGTTAGTCAAAAGATGAGGATGCAAATAAATTCATAATAAATAAACAAATAAATAAATGGAAAGAACTATAACACATTGTTTAATATAAAGGTACTCTAAGGTTCAGGGGTATTTGATACTACCTCTGAGCTTGGTTGTTTTCTTGCAGCTATTTCATTGCTCAAACTGTTACCTTATTTGGGTAATGAAATCTTCCAAAATACAACCAAGCTCAGAGAGCACCAAGAATCCTTCATTTCAACCCTGAGTTACAAATATTCTTCTCTGTCAATATGGTAAAATTGTATCTTTACTGCAAAATCAGTTACCCTTCAAGATGAAGACATCCCAGTTTGTAGCTTGGTCTTAGCCATTACTTTGGCTTTCAATGTAACATGATAATTAGGGCATCATTTTAGAAATATTTTTAAATCATGATTTAGGAAATGATTTTCTTCCTGTCACCCACTCACAGACACATAGCATCTGGGGAAAGACTGAACCTTGGAAGTTTGGAATAACAAAGCTTATGTTCTGTTACTGAGCTATTGTCTCTCCTCAATTATTATTGTACTTGCTTCTCTAAAAACAAATAAGATCTGAATTACTTGGAACAAAAATACATGATCAAGATTAAAGAAACTTCTAACCAAATTTTGCAAAAGAGTAACAAACATCAATCTGTAACTATTTTTTTCCTGATGATTCAGGAATGTTCTAACAGGAAAAACCAGATAAGACAGAAACTTATAAGCTTTAGGTAGCTTTCTTTCTTCATAGCGCTTATAGTACCTTGAAGTGTTATGAAATAATGCTAAATATTACCTTATGTGTTTGGTAGACGATGATTGCATTATCAGCTAGAGTTTCTACAACACGGAAATTTTCAATGGTTGCTAAAGACAAGTTCAAAAAAAGAAAAAAAAAGAAATAATTAAAATATAGCAATGATACTTTCACATATCAGTTAGATCAGAATTAGCCAGATCTCTGTCCTCTGAATGAGTTAAAACCGCAAGTCCTAGAATTTCCAGACATATTAACTGAAAATAGGGAATTGGACTAAGTGGATGTCAACTGAACAGTAGCAAATACAAATAAATAAACAAACTACGTTTACTTACTTTCCCAATCATTGCGAACATCAACATTCCAGAAATAGTGGCAGACCTCATGTCCTGTAACGCCTTTGACTGCATGTGTGGCCTTCAATGGATCTAGAACAATGCCATTTTCTTCTACCTCCCTCCTGTACACCTTTGAATAAATATAAAATATTTTAAATCTTTTTTATATTCTTAATTCACTTTTGAAATTGGTGGGGAAAATCCTGGATTAGTAAAATTAGAAATTAGTAGAAATACCATTCATTTAAATATAGAACATAAAACTGACTTGTTGGACCATACCAAGTCCCATTTTATTCTGGTTTTTTTCTCTCTCTCACACGGATGCTTCTAGGATATTCACAGGTTAGGGATGGATGTATAACATGTCTCTCCATTGTACCTCCGTTACTGGCATCTATAGACATGCTCTCCCCCATACTGAAGGTAACTGAATTTTTAAAGCCAGTGGGCCTTGATAGACCTTTCTTCAATGAATATATTTAGTTCACTTTAATCCTATCCAAGTTAGTAGCTATCACATCTACTGATAATTAATTTCACAGGTTAATTATGCTCTGTACAAAGAAATGCTTCATTTTGTTCATTTGAAATATTGTTCCAATCAACTTTATAAGATCTAATATTTTGACAGGAAAAAAACTTCTTCATTCTTTCCATTCTATGTAAGATTTCATTCAGTTTAATAATGTCTCCACTTCCTATCCCTTTTTTAAGTTACAAAGTTCCAAACACTCCAGCCTTTTCCAGTACACAAGGAGTTCAAGGTCTCTGAGAATTTTTGGAATATTTTTGTACTTTTCTAGCACAGTCATATTGTTTTTCAAGTGTATAGACTAGAATTGTAAACATTATTCTAGACAGAGAAACAAAGTAATATATATTCTAAATAGCTAAAACGAATAGCAGCTTAAAGCTTGAACCAAATCTGGAGATCCAATTTCAACCTTTTTACTGAATTAACAACCTCAGGGAAATTAGCAACTCTTTGTCTAAATTATTATTCATTTTAACATATTTATAAAGTATGAAATATTCTACTTACCTTCATTTCACCTTCTTCAACCACTAGTTGCCAGTTTGCATCACCCCCTACATCCTGTAACGAATATGTCATGTGGTTCTGCATCATCTCTTCCACCTTTCAAAACAAAACAGGAATAAATTGAAAATACATTTATGGAAGTATTTTTAGCTCTTCTGTAGCCTGGAGATACTCACATGATTGCCATTAATGTACCATTACACAAACTATTGTATAAATAAATAAGTAAGTAAGTAAGTAAGTAAGTAAAACGACTGTGCAAAAATATATTATCAACAAAGAAACAGACTTGAGCAAAGAACTTCCATAATCAGACAAGCAAGCAAGCAAGCAAGCAAGCAAGCAAGCAAGCAAGCAAGCACAAATACACGGGATTCAAACAGAAAGTCTCTTAATCACAATACATTTGGGGGGGGTGTCCCTTTAGGAAACAATTTATATTAATATGATTTCAGGATATATTTAAACAGATTTAAACTCATATGTTAAATTTAAGTAAATGTAAAAGTAAACATTCAAACTGGGTCTAAATTGGGAGCATGTTCCCATTAGCATTAAGAACATTTGCCAGAATATTTCAATTTACCAGCAATCCATGTACTCATCAATATACCCATCTCAATCTGCTCATCTCTGCTCTACTGTAACTTACATGACAATAGAGAATGCCACTAAATGACTTTCCTTCCTATCATCAAATATCCTTACAAAGATATGACCTATTTGCAGAGGTGGTATTCAGCAGGTTGTGACCAGTTCTGGAGAACCGGTAGCAGAAATTTTGAGTAGTTCGGAGAACCGGCAAATCCCACCTGTAACTGGAGATTTCACAGTATGCTTCCCCTGCCACTCCCACCAAGCCACACCCACAGAACCGGCAGTAAAAAAAACTGAATCCCACCACTGCCTATTTGTTTATAAAATCACACAGAAATCAACCTGAGACCTCAAAATTGCTCTATTCTTAAAATTACTTTTATTCTTAAAATTACTTTTAAGAATAGAAATTAAGAAAGTAGACTGGAGAACTACTAAGAGCATCTACTTTACAGAAGCTCTACTGCTTAAAACCTCAATCGGTTGACTGATTTACATTTTTAAATAGGAACCTTCATTTGATTTAGAGGCATTACTCTGAACAACAATGTGTAAATGTAAGAGAACACAACTAATCATTCTCAAAACCAAATAATCTTCAATCAAGTCTCTTTCCTATTGCTAAATATCTTAAGCTTTCTGTGTATAAATAATTTAAATGCTGTACCAAGTAAATAGAAATGTTTCCAGCCTCATAAATTATATGTTGTTCCAATTTTACAGTCTTTTCCTGTATATTTGATAAATTTTATTACCTGAATAATTTATTTTATTCTACCAGCTAAAGGAAAAAGTCAGCTTGCTATGTAATATGCTGAAGCCATGTTTTCAATTACCACATTGGTTTGTAAGGCAATATTTTTCAACATCTTCATAACTCTAAAGGTTAACAGATATTTCAGGGAAAAGGCTTGATTCTTGGGAATTGTATACATTTTTTTCCTATATACACCCTAGAATCACATTACTTGCAGTATGATTTTATTCATGCATATTTTATAATTGAATGAAACAAGACATAATGGAAATCTACCTACATATTTATTGTTTCTTAAAGTTAACTCCATTTGAAACATTACAGAGAGGTCACATATGATCAATAACTTTTGAACTTCTGGCATAAAAATGGAGGAATTGTGTTTGACAAACAGCACACACATTTTAGAGCCTCACAGACAAATTGCTCAATTTAAGAATATTCTCTCAATTAGCAATTTGCCCTGATCTGAAGTTGTTGCAAACATAGTCTTGTATCTAATATCATGTCTGCTTCCAAATTGTTAGTTATTCACAAATCCATTATTAGGCTTCCATCTTAATGCAAATTCCATCATATTAATTTCAATTATCAAATGAGAACTAAACAACCATGCCAAGTTTTGTAAAATAAACTTGTTCTGAAAGCAAAGACAATAGTTGATATTGTATTCTTTTGCTTTCTGTTATGGTACATTCCTGAAATTTTAAAGATCATTTATACTCATAAAGAAAAATGTGAACTTTTGAACTTTAGATACAATAAAAATCAATGAAAAAATGTCTGCATTTTAAGAAAAACCTTCATTCAAATATTTTTTATCATAGCATTGAATAAGATGGGAAGAAATGTTCTTTCTTCCTGCCACATATTTTACATGATACTGTTAAATTAGTCTATGCTAGTAATTAAATGTCATTTTGAATTCTATGTTGTAAAAATAATCTTCAATTATTAGATAATTATTCAAAAGCAAAAAGCAGATATCCCTTGGTAATATGTAGACTGGAAAAAATATCTCCAAATTCTTTCTCTGAATTATAATATCTTGCAGAAGTCAAGCTGTAATATCAAAGAGCTAAATATAGAAACATCAATAACCACAGAACTTTAGACCTCTAGTCTGTGTTATTGGGAATTACAAAAACATTCTTCCTTGTCTCAGTTCTTAGAATCTTACATGGACTTTCTTTAAAATAGTTTTTAGTATTTGAGGGATATTCTCTCCAAAGACCACAGAATCAAATTGTTAAGTAACTGTTTAGAAAAAGCATCAAGTTATATATACCGGTAGGTTATTTAAGGACAGATTTATTTATATTGGAAGCTGAATACAGAGCCTGCATAGTATCTGAGTTCTTTTAAAAAATTTACAAATTTGAGAAGTCTTCTCCAACATGGAGGTCATTAAAAATAGAAGTGTTGGGCACATGCCAAACATTGAACAAGAGTGAACAAAGATGACTGTTACTCTGTACCAATGTAACTTGCTCATGTCATGATCCAAACATCAAATGAAAATTCACATAGTAGATCTCCAACTCAAAGTACTTAAATGTTGGATCATCAGAATATTGAATTACTATAAATAATTTTTGTCTTGACAAGATTAGCTATGTCATTGAAGAATTAAAATTTCTGAATATTGTACAACGTTTGAGAAATTGCAAGAATATAAGGGATATTACTTAAAACACAAGTATTGTTTTTTACAGAATGGAATAAAACATTTGGAACGTCTTGGACTAAAATGCAACAAAACTGTTTCACAATCGTATTTAACTCTTCCTATTCACTAGAATATACAGTTCCTTCCTACAGTTTATGTGCACTTTGTTTAAAACAAGCGTAAACAGTTAACATAACAAGAAGAACAGAAGTGACCATGAAGGTGAAATACAGCAAGAAGACATGGTAAAGCCACTCTGCATGTAGAAATACAGTACCTGGGAGCTGAATCTGTGATCATCAGAGGTACTGACTAGATCAATGGAAGACATGGAGGAAGAGCGACTATAGGGCTAACAGAGACAGACAAAGAAAAAACCAAGTAATCAGAACAAAGGCACAACAGAGCATTTTGTACCAACTTCCACGCACAAGATTATGAAGAAGAAACAAAAGCACCATAAGCAGCAAGTACAGCAGCAAATGCTGACTTCATGCACCTATTATGTATTATATTCCAAACACTGCTCAGTAAAGAATTCTTTCTCAGAATACTAAATATTGTTGCCTAGGTTTGGTACACAAGATGTGTTCACTAATTCATAATAAACCATTCTCTAACAGAGTGAAAAATGAAAGCTTGCAGAAATCTAGTAAAATAAAAGTCTTCCTTATTACAGTTTAGTTAAACTTAATTTTGAAGCATGCACGCTTAGCAGAAAAACGTCTCTTAAGTTCATCAATGTAGCAAAAGTAATTGTTCTTCCAGCAGATAGTAAAGCAGTTTGAATGGCTCTATTGATACATAATAGGATGTTTACATATTACATAACCATAATCTATTATGTTAATTGGAACACAGAATTGATTCAACTTTCAGGTCACATTTTGGAAGCTTCTTACCTTTTGGACAAATCTATGATTCCCCACACCAGAAAATACATCACCAGGTGGCAGGGAAGTTGGCCAGTGTAATCTGACTTTTTCACTTTGGGACTATAAGAACAAATATATATAAATATATATATAAATATATTTATTATTCTACAATTTTGGATGTATCATGAAAACATTAAATAATTTGAAAAATATTTCTCAGTGATAGGCACATTATGGCTCTCCATCTTCCAAGCTAAGAACACAAAGCCTTGAACATAATTCCTGCATAACAGCAAACAGCAATTGTCTCTTACTTTAATGTAAATAATGAAGAAAAATATATTAAAACCAAATGCTTATAAAAATAATAAAGGCAGGACTAAAAATCAATCAAACAAACAAATAGGCTCCTTTTCATTCTGAAGCCCATGAACTGTATACTATAGATCAGGAGTCTTTAAACTTGACAGCTTTAAGACTTGTGGACTTCAGCTCCCAGAATTCCTCCTGTCACGTTAAGCTCAGGAATTCTGGAAGCTGAAGTCCACAAGTCTTAAACTTGCCAAATTTGAAGACTCTTGTTATAGATATTTACTATAGTATGTGTATTCTAAGATACACATACTATATAGTAAATGATACAACATTGTGACACAGTTCTGCCTAGAACTTCATATACTAATATTACCTGTTCTTCTATTTTGTCTTGACGATCTAGAGCAGCTTCAACAGCATCGAAGAATTCTTCTTCATTAATCAAACTGTTGGGACCTTCCTATAGCAAAAATCATTAGAAAGTAAACTTAATAAGATAAAAGTAAAGGTTTCCCTCGCACATACGTGCTAGTTGTTTCCGGCTCCAAGACAACTCAAAAGTATACTGCAAATGAATAAAAATATTGCAGCAGATGTCTGAATCAACATATAACTAGGAAACCATATTGTTTAAAAGAGGGGGGG